TCCAAAAAATAAAAAACCCCTAAGGCTGTGTTTCTTTTCTGTAAACGAAAGATGTTCAAGTGGTTTCCAAAGTGTTTAGGTTCTGTTTTCTGAGTGATGCCGCAGCAGCCCAAGCATATGTGGGAGGCAAAAAAAAAGCAGCAAACTGAATGCCAACTGAAATCTACCTGTCACGGGAGACACCTGCCCTCCAACAGGGTCAAGAGCCAGACACGACAGGCTCGGCTGCACCGAGTTCCCAGGAGGAAGCCGCGTTCTGTTGATCAGCACATCAAATTTAGTGCTGTGGCAGGTGTTGCTGCACAGGGTGTCATGCTGGTAGAAATCTATCTGGCCGGAGTCCATCATTTTCCTGCACGGGGAGAGCCAGGTTAACACTGCAAAGTTTCCAGGAAAATATTTACACTACGTAGCTACGGGGGGATGTTAGGACTGAATTTCCAGTGAGTTCCTGATAGCTTCGCAGCGGTGTGCTCGACACAGAGTGCCTTGATCTGGCCTCTGGAGGAATGAAGATGAAAAGAACAGATAGGGCCTTTTGAGCTTTGTGTGCCATCTCACAGTAATACCAACAACAAGCGCAAACATGATAAAGAGGTGAGAAGTGTTTCTCAGCAGCTTGCATCCGTGCTATTCGATCCTGCTATCATGATAATGCCACTTACAGACTGCCTCTGGAATGCACCGGCAAACCCTGACAGACTTCGAGCAGCTGCAAATTATATGAGTGAGACTTTAGCTGTGCGCCGCTCTACAACAAAAAGCAGACAAAAAGAAGTTATATGTCTACCTGAGCATTACTCCTCCCAGCCTGATGGCTCTTTTCCAGTCCTTTAGAGTAGCTTTCCCTGCCAGATGCACAAACTGCTTAGGACTGATGAGCTCGTCATTGAACTGTTAAAAAAAAAAAAGGGAGGACAGCACACATTATGTTTCTGAGAGAGTAATAAGACAGAAGGGACCAAAATGCCATCCCGGAGAAAGGTTTTCAAAATTTAATTTTGCAGTAATAATAAGGTAATAATTAAACGATCACACTAAACATCAACTTACTTTGACGCATCTGACGTTGATTCCGGGGCACACAAACTTCTTAAACAGCAGCACCGCCCTGCTGTCCCCGCAAGTGATGGGGTAGCCATACTCGACCTCATCTCCATCTGCTTCACTGTCATCTAAAACGTTACAGAACACAAACATGGCCGTGACCGCCTGCAGCGGCATTACAGTGTGCATTCGCAGTAATGAAAGTCAGAATCGTCAAACACCCCAGGAGGTTTGTCAATACTCTCCGTGTATATCTGTTAAATGACAGTGAAGCTTGAGAGATTCATTATTCTGTTTACTGCATCGGTTAGACTGAATAAGCTGTGTGTTTGAAAGGTTCAGTTCAGCAATTAGTTGCAATGTCTTTGTGTCATTCACCGTGATGCGTCTCTATGGCCAGGACTGTAGTGCCAGTGTCTGCAATGTCATCATTCATCCTGCAGAGGGCGACAGATCCACACATATAAAATAATTATTTATTGCATGCAAGCCTTGGAAATATTCTTAAAATGCGTGCAAGTTGGCTGCATGTATACGCAGGATGACCAGATGTCACTCTTTATGTGGGACTGCAAAGCATTTTTATTGTTTATAAAGGAAAAATCCTCAGTGTCAGTATTTGTTAGTTTGCTTTAAAAAAAACTTTTACAATTTGCCTGATAAGGCATTGATGACGTCTTTATTGAGACTTAGGATGTCTACAAGAATCTCAGCCTCCATACAATAATAATTTAAGAAGTCTAAAACTAACACTGAAACTAAGAAAAAAATAAACTAAAGCCAAACATTTCCAAACAATAAAAATACTGACAGCCACCAGTGCTACTCAGTGCATAATAAAGGAAGATTTTTTACTATAGTCAAAGGAAGGTCAGCCTGCATGATGCTATGCCTGTCAATGAAATTTCCCCCCAAAAAAATCTGTCTTTTGATGGCAATCTGTGAATGCATCCGTACTGAAACTCAAAGACTGTTAGCTAAAAGAATCAACAGTGAAATAACAATAACTTCAGTTTCCTTTTATGCTCATTGTATTTATTTAGCAAGAGTTGGAAAGGTTGCCTTTAAATATAATATAGTTGTTAAGGTGTCTCACTTTAACGGTTGGGATGTGGTCATCTTCTGTATACCTGTCTGATTTTGTGTTCTTTGAATTAAGTCTGCATTAAACAACAGATGTATCTCACATAATTTGTTCAACACAAAGATCACTGTGCTATTCACACAAACAAACCGCTTATATTAATAAGAGCCACTTTACCCATGCAGAACGGGCTGCAGGTGCAAGACGACTTGAGATTTTCGCTCAGTACTGCTGTGCTCTCCCTCCTCTTCCCTCGCAGTCATGACCTCCTCTGAAGACACGGTGACCTGAGCACCCGCCATCACCTCTCTTCTCGGAGCTGCAGACAGAAAAGGGCGAGCAGGCGTGTTAACGTCCGCATGACAAGTGTGCACGCTTTAATGCACATGAAAATCACTGAGTTTTACCCGCCCACCCCCTCTAACAGCCTTTTCTTGCATGCAACTGTCATAGAAATGAGTCCATACAGGGCTTAAAATGACATAATCCTCACATCACCCGGGCCTTGCTCCCTATGCTGCTGCTAAGAATGCACAAGAACATCGTAAATACTGAAACAAAAGCTTACAGCTTTTACTAAAGCACTGCCTACAAACGTAACACAGCAAAGTCTATTCAAGGATATTCATCTATTTAATTCATTCAGTCATAGGAATAATTTCACATCAGATCAGTCAGTCAAAGCGTTGCACATAGGTGACTAGTTTTTGCACAAAAGCAGCACGATTTTTCAAGAAACTGTTGAACAAATGCAATCTGCAGGAGCATTGTTACCAGATGAAATAAAGCAAGCTCTAGTTTATATCAGTCTGCAAGGCATGCTGCCATGTAGCCTGCCTATATGTATGTGTATGTGTGTGATATAATTATGGCTACAGAACACCTTAAGAATTTGCTTTAAAAATTGGCACATAATCACATTATGGAGTGGTCAAATGTGAACAAAGTACCCACTGGACTGTGATAATATACGGTCAGTGCGAAATGGGAAACCGCTCCAGGGTAAAAAGCTACCGATTAATAATAAATAAAGTGCCTTTGCAATCATTCGAGCCTGGTTCTCTCTATTATATCACATCAGTCCAACATAAGTAGGAGATGATAGCAGATACATATGAAAAGCACCGAGGAGAAACTCATTTATAAACTGTTTGGGTGATTCCACAGCAGAGACACAGTGGCTGGCAGGCTTGTTGTGCAGTAAAGAGCAGATAACAGCACTGATTAATAACTTCCACGCTGTATTAAGTGGCCTTAACGCAGTGTGGATCACCAACTCATACAGCACGAACAGTTGCGTGCCTCGCTCACACTCCTGCACCCACTCAAACTGACGTCTGCTTGGTGCGGAGGCACGCACACCCCGACAGGGACGCACGACCCTGTCCTGTTAAAAAATAAAAAACAAAAAGGCGCACAAAACACCGTGTCCCATGTCAAACTCCCACACACTCTACCTGCGACTGTATGTAGACATTGTCGTAGTTTTACTCACCGTTTTACAGCAGGGGATAATTCATCCTCCGGTCGTCAGAGAAGTGCGATAGCATGCGCAGTGCTGCTTCGCTTAGACTTTCTGCAGTGAAGGCAGCATTTGCCTGAGAAGCATCTGTCCCGCTGTCACGAGAAGCGGTTGGCTCGCACGCGATGTGTAAATCGGTCAGACTGCTCTTATGTGGCTTGGATTGAGCGCCTCCACGGCTGCACAGGCTGAAAGCTTTCCAGCCTCAGAGCATGTTTCCAATCCAGTGAAAATCCGCAAGAACTATTATTATTGTTAGTAGTAGTAGTAGTATCATTATTATTACACAAATTACATATCTTAGCTCAACAATTTGAGTTTTGTTTAAGTTGTTATAATTGTAGCTTTATGGTTTTAGTACGACAGGCTCAACCCTCACGTCAGCTACATATTTAACAAGCATGGACCGGACCAGGGATTTTTTTGAGGTGACCTTTGGAGAGTCACACCAGCAGGTGGTGTAATCCTTACAGCCAGAAGCATCAAGGCTGCCCAGATTGGGGCTCGTAGTGCAGCAGGATCAGCTCTCCTGTTCATGCGTGTCGTGACCAGAGCATGCCCCAGCTCTCTCTCAGGTACAACAGACCCACATCTCCAATATTCTGATAACTTCCAGTCTATAACTTTAAACCAGATGATGAATGCATGCATGGCCTCTCAGTCTTTCTTCTTTAAAATGACAGTCAGAGTGCTCCTAGATCACATGAATACTCTGTGATACTTTGATTGGGGACTCATGGCATTAAGTGAATAAATATTTCAATTTGTTCATAATTTGGGTGCGTTTGACAGGAGTCTCCTGGGACAGCGACAAATCTATGTTTTTTAAAAGCACTTGTCAAAGCAGAAAGGTTTTTAAACTAACTCATTGACGAAGACATTAAATGGCTGGAATAATAGAAAAACACGCGTAAGATTAAAAAAATACATACCTCTAAATCTTGAGGAAAAGGATTAATCGTGGCTCTAGAACAGGCGCTTGTTATATTTTTGTTGTTGCCTTGAATTCACCGGAAGATGGCAGTCTTAGCACTTAGACTGAGAACGGAAATTTGGGCGAGTCAGACGAGGTGTTTCTGAATGTTTCATGTTTGCTTTAAAACTGCACTTTCCACCTTTGACACGCACGCATCTTCAAATAAAGATTTGATTCGGCATTTCCATCGTTTCTAATGAGAGTAAATAAGAAGCACTGCTACCGCTGGCTGGTCTCAGGTCAGCGAACACCTACGGATCAGGCCAGCCCTATTTGGGAATGGAATCCCGGACACCAACTTGATTGACGCTTCAGGAGAGCCAATTGGAGACGGGGTTCGACACTCGTGACCAATAGTAAATATCCAGTACTCTGTGCTCCAACTTTTTATTGAAGCAAGACCCCTCGAGTCAGCGAGGCATGCACCTTACTTTTTTCTCGCTGAGTTCCTGGAAATCATGCTCGCAAAGTGCGAAAACATCGGGGAAGCTGTGAAGTCTTTCATTGCCGGTTTGTGGATCGCTTTAAGCGTCTGTTCGGTGTGTGTTCGCGGCCAGGAGGGTAAGAAAACGCCTGTTATGTTGACGCTTTTGATAAGATAAGGATTGTGACGTGGGAGACGGATTTTCGCACATTTCGTTAGCTGCAACTAGAGCTGATAAGTAACTCGCTAGGTTTGAAGAGTTTTCCCCATTTTTTTTTAAATTAATCGCACGATTATTAATAATCAAGACTGATGACGTAGGATGAGCGCCCAGTCGGCTGCCTCCTTTAAAACACATTTCTGCTGTGTTTAAGATAGTTGTTGTCATATAACCCTGCTAACTATTGCTGTTTAATGCATTTTCATCAGAAACTATTATTGGAAAGGCCACCATGCCTTGTCCTGTATTCTGCACTGTACACATCCACACTTATGTTGCTGTTCCGATCATCTTTATGGCTCTAAGCCAGAATTAAAGTGCATTAATGTGTCTGTATTTAGGTGCAAAGGTCGCCGATTGGAAGTCATGTTAACAGTTTTTACAAACTCTTTCCTTGCCCGTGTACCTAGTGATCCCTGCAATCCTTTCCCAGAGTCTTTTTCTTTCTTTCAACACATCAGTCTGGCCTGTTATGAATCACAGTGACCATATATAAACATAGACAAACAAGCTATTGCCCTGCAGACTATGACTCCACCAGTCAGCCATACCACAAATCTTCAGTGCTGTTTTTGTCTGTCTCTGGGGCTTTGATTTCCGCACATCGGAAGATGATTAAGCCCTGGATACATCATTATTTAACTTAGCAAATATGCTATGCACCAGCTTTGGTGGGGCCTAGGTTTGGGGGAAACATTTCTACCTCCGGCATTGAATAAGGCGATGTAGTGACAGGTAGCATAGGTGAACATCCTGTCTGCTAGTGTGGACCTGTAAGGACCTGCCAACAAAGCATGAAGTGGAAAACTGCTGGCGTGTTTCTGATGGACTGTCTACTATCCTAACACCCAAGCTTTCTGTGGTTTAGCTCCTGAGATTTCTAAACAGGTCAGAACAGCCTGAACACGAACCCAACAGACTGTGGGTGAAACAGCCCAGTGATCAGGGGAGCAATTACTGGTCACCCAGACATTTCCCAAAATTACTCCCTCTTTAAAGCTGGGAAAAAGTCCCCCGTGGCCGGCCTCCGGAAGGTGACAGATCCATGCTCTGCTGCCCAGAGTTACAGTATGTGGCTGCGGTATTTCCAGGGAATCCTTTGGGGACTTGAGGGGGGACAATAACAGTCGAAGGTTTATGATATGAGGAACTGAAGTGTTGTTGGGAAGGAGGTGACCAGCTCGGCTAATGCAGGAGGAGACACAGGGCGAATGGAAGGCTACTCTGTAACTTCCAGTCAACAAATATTCAGGAGCCTTTTAAGGGAAGCAAGGACAGCGCTGGTGTTTAGGCTCAGACTGACCCTGGTGCCTTCCTCAGGTTTTGACCATTCTTGGAGCACATTACTTGGGGGAGTGAAAAGTGAGGGCGGGGAGTGTTAGTGTCTGAGCTTGTCACCCCCGCAACACCAATCTCTGTGTGACTCCTGTGGGAAATTTTGAATAAAGTTGTTTTTGTTTTTTTTTGTGACCAACAGGAATCTTAAACCGTCTGAATGTTTGTGTTTTCTGTTCCTCTTCAAGTGTTAGTCATAGCAAGATGTAGTATATCAGCACTATGCTTTTTTTTTTTCCTTCCTTGCTTTTGCCTGGGGAAAAGCACCTCTTGGTATTTAATCTTAAACAATTATGTTTTGCTCTGTATCCAACGTGCAGGTCACAGGTGTTACAGTCGAGCTCTTCCCTCGTTGGTATTTCAAAAAGTCGTGATGACAGAAGGATAAACATGCCCTGAGCTGCCGTACATGCTCAGATTAGACTCGTTGCTCATCTGTCTTGAAATGGTGTATTAACAAAGCCTTTAATATTTGCATTTAATTAAGAGAGACAGTTACATAGCCATCTCTGGTTATGTCATTTTGGCTTTCCTTAAGGTCTATAATTGCACTCTGCTCACTGCCGTCAGCAGCTGAACAGTTGAAAATATTAATCAACTAGCTGCTGACTCAGTTTGTAAAGATTTGTGACCAAAAGGCAAAAGATGCTGAGATGAGTGCCGGGAAAAAATGTTAGTAATGGAGAAGTTTAAGCAGTTAAACATGATAACTCAAGAAGGAAGTCACCAAGGATTTTTAAATTGATATCAGTGGTCAACTTTTCTAAAAAATCACTCAGGATTTTCAAATTTATGCCACAAGTGCATCTGTTCGGAGGCTGAGAGGTAGCAGTGGGAGCACCAGTATTTTTTTATGTTTGAATGTTTCATAGGTCAGCGTTAAGTGGCCTGACAAACAAATAAAAGGAAAACATTCCTCTGGTCTGGATGGAGCGTCGGTGAAGAGACAGCCACTGTCGCTCAAGACCACTTTAACAACATTGCAAGAAAATCTGGCTCCTTGGAAGGAATATTTAAATAAATGAGGCGTGGGTTAAGACCTCTATATCGGTTTTAGAAGTGAGTGATTAGGAAACATGAAACTGAAAGAAAAGGAAATCAGAAGTCGTTAGAAGTTAATCTTGATTTTTACCGTGTGAACTGTGCCCTTTTTTTCTTGTCGTAGCTTTCTTATAGTGCTTGTTTTGTGTCAGGTAATGGCTGTGGACATACGCTGCTGGCACCAGAGTCGGGCACCGTAGCCTCCCAGAACTATCCGGGTACCTACCCCAGTAACACCTGGTGTAAGTGGAGGCTTCGTGTACCACAGGGGCGCACGCTGCGACTGCTCTTTGGAGATTTTGACGTTGAGAGCAGTCCAGGCTGCAGCAATGGCTCTGTGATGATCACAGACAAAAACGGAGAGCACAGCCTGGGTGAGCACACCTCTTGATTGTTTTATTTATTTATTAATAGATAATAAAGTTAACATTTTTGGTGGGAGAATAAATTAATTTACTATGTTGTAGAGAGTTTGGGGGTCTCTGACATATCAGTCAACAAATTTACTTAAATGTTTCTTTTTTTATTTTAATAAACATCAAGTTCAAGCTCTCTCCACATACACACTGTATGACACATCACATAGGTATGGCCTTTAGCTGACCCTTCAGACCTGATTCTAGGGTCTCCTTTCACTCCCTGTCACTCTCATCACGTTTGCTGACCCCACTGTGGGAATGACCCTCACTGTCCAATTGTAGTTTTTCCTCATAAAATCACTTTGTGTCCATTTCTTGTAAGTTGTTAAAAGTCCATTTTAGTGTATTGTTTGCCAGCTCACCTAAGCCACCAGTCAGTGCTGTCAAAACATTACCCCGCAGGTTCTCCCTGTGACCCCCACTCACACAAACTTTGCAGCTGGGAATGAAAAGCTTGCAGCTGCCTGATAACCAGATAATCAAGTGTTGTGGAGTGAGGAAGGAAGGATCAGAGTTTAGAAGCACTGCTTTAGCATCATTGCCCTAAGAAAAGTGGTCTAACTGCATAATGTTACCCTGAGGCAATGAACCAAACAAATCCTGTTTTTAGTAAGTAAATGAAATCAAAGTCTGTCTTTCTTTCAGGCACATGCACGTTAGTTTTAGCAGCAGCAGGTATTGTCTCATGGTTCCTGAAAGGACTGGGACACCACCCCCCTCCAAGTCAAAGGTCAAACTGTTCTCATCCTTATTTTACTGAACAGCGACATGTCTTGTGTCATTAATTTAAAATATATAAATACACATTTTAAGGGAGAGGGGAATACCAAAAATGTGGTCACACACCAGATGTCTGATGAGAACTTTCCCGTGTCCTCATCAAATCTTAATTGACATACTTGCTGACAGAGACTTTGTTCCCTCTCATTACTGATGATCATCCAGTCTGGATTGTATAACTCACTCAGGACATGCCATTGTGTTGATGCACTGACAGAAAAGGCAAACCATATTTCACAGGAGACGTGTAGGTTTCGCAACCAGCTGCATCGTATCCTGAGGGCATAAAAGTTGCTCCAAATTAAGGGTTGAGAGATTCAAGAGATGTTTCACTAGGCTGACTATTGTATACATCATCAGATTTCACAGCGCCTCACATTCTTATAGAAACTTCTTTTTGTTTTGTTTTAGTGTTTTTCTGTCTAACAGACTGTCAACTCTTCATTATTAAGGACTGGAAATGGATGTTTATAGTGCACCGGCGTGTGTGCTGACAGACGTATTTATGTTCTTGTGCTTTATAAACGTAGTTTGCGGGAATGTGTGTCCACAGGTCCACTGTGCGGGAAGCTTGATGCAGCCGGGAAGAATGTGACATTTAATAGCAATGAAGTAACAATAATGTTCAAGTCGGGCCCACATCGCTCTGGACGAGGGTTTCTGCTCTCTTATGCCACAGATCAGCAGCCAGGTACTCCTATAATTTATGCCTTCTGACTGATGTCATGCTGGGTAACTTTTGATGGAAGCTTCTTTGTTATTCCGATTGCATTGGTTTATTTTTTTTTCACCATTTATTTATAGCAGAGTAAATTTGACGCAGAAGGAAATAAAACCACAGAACACCAGAGCATTTCTGGCCTTGGCTAATCTGCAGGGCCAGGGATGAGCCTGTGAAATATTTTAAAATCAACTGTGCACCATATATAATAAATGCACACACTAAAGCACAGAAGCTAAAGGGGAAACAAGGCTGTTATAGCTGTTACATTATGGTTATTTGCCTGATTTATATGTTATATAGGTGCGAGTGTGGTTGTGAGAGAGATCTTTTTTTAAGTTTACACTGATACAATCATAACACTAGCTGTTCTGTGAATATTTATCCTTCAGTATAACACATTTGCCCGTGTGTTGACGTGCGCGTGAGTGTATGAGTCATTGCTTATTGGCATTCACCCTCCATCGCCTCCATGTTGGCTCCGGCGTGTTTGCTAAGTTCTACTCCTTCTCTCGGGCTGAATGGAATGAGGCCTCAAGCTTCAGTCTGTTACTTGGACCGTCTCGAGCTCTCCTCCCCTCCTCTTCTTCAGCCTGTTAACCACTCCAAGCCCACTGCCGTCCTGTATTCGTCGATATAAGGCTTCTGAATCCAGCGGCTACTTGTTTCTTGTTTTCTGGGGGTTTTTTATTTGTTTTTCTTTGTACCCCAGCCAGTTGTGACACGCATACACCCGGTATGTTTATTCATGGATTAAACCACAAATCTCACTAAATGATACACAATATCAGATTCTCCTTGGGTATTTTTTTAAATAACCATGTAGCCTTACTTACTTAGTCTAAATATAGGCTATTCAGACTAAGTCTTAATTTTCCCGGCTGTGGCCTTGTGTACTGTGCACTATGTATCATAGTTTCCTGTTTTTGCTCAGTTGTTTATGAAATCCAGCAGAGTCTGGAGCTAAGTCTGTACTCAGACATACAAACCACTGTCTGTTGGCTGTGATCACACATGGACCTTTTGCTTTGCTCGCAGTAACAAAGGCGTTAGTCACATCAACAGTGATGACCACTCATGCCTGACTATAGCACAGTTGTAGCATCCCAGACCGTCTCACACAGTCTGTTGTCTGTTTGTGTGGTTGAGCGAACGCCGAGGTGGTGTTATGCAAGCCCGAGACACATGGTCCACCCATACATGCTGTCAAAATGTTAAAAAAAGATTCATTTTGAGGAGCGCCGTTTGAAGTTTTCTGTTTATGTTTTCAGATCTCATTTCATGTTTACAACGGGGATCTCATTTTAGCTTGCAGCATTTAAGGTAAGCCGTGGACCTCTGCGTCTTCATCTCCGATTCAGTAGAGCTACAAGTATTTCTCACATGTTCTTCTGCTCCTTCTCAGCGTGTATTGCCCTGCAGGATGCCAGAAGGTCACAGGGGACGTGTGGGGGAACTCTGAGCATGGTTACAGAGATGTAAGCTCAGCAGATTTCATTAGGAAAAGCTGTATTGTACTAGGGCTGCCACGATTAGTCGACTAGTCACGATTACGTCGACTATCAAAATCGTC